CCCCCCCGCGATGATTCCCCCCCCCGCCACGGCGCCTGCGAGGGACAGCAGAGCCGGCGGTGAAGGACGGCAGGGAACAAGGCGCGACACCGCCGGTTGCCCGGCCGGGTGCTCCTCGGGGTGGCGTCCAGCAGAGCGTGGTGTTTTGGGAAGGATGAGGGGTGCCAGCGCCCAGCAAAAAGGTTTCCGTGAGGCGTAGATGCCAGAGGCACCAAACCCATGGGTTGAGGTGGCCTTGGACTGCGGCGTTTTGGGTAGCGCCGGGCCGTGTCCGCTGCAGAGACCCCCCCCGCAGCTGTAGGGCTGAGCCAAGACGGACCAAGCCCCGAGGACCAGAGCAGAGCCCACGTGTTGCTCTCGAGCTCTGCGGGGGGCTACAGAGCTTTCGGCCAGCTGAACCAGGGCCGCGGTCTCCACACCCACCTTCGCAGGTCAGTTTGGTGGACGCCAAGCCCAGGCGGAGGACGGAGCGGTTCCCGATCAGCCCGTTCTTCAGGTTGCGGACGCCTTCGTTCCCGATGGGGTTGTGGCCCAGGTTCAGGGTCTCCAGGCTCTGCGTGTGAGGCTGCGGGTATCCGGGAAAACCAGCTCGAGGCGGAGGGGACGGCGGCTCCGTCTCAAGCCCGCGCCCGTTGAATTCACAGCCGTTCCTCCGACCGCACGGCCGGGGCCGCCCGGCGCAGCGGTGGAAGGGGACAGGGGACGGATTCTGCTCCGACGCAGCGATCACACCAGCCCGCTCGGCCACTCCGCTCCCACCGCTGCCCTGCTCTGGCCCCGAGGGTGGCAGGAGAGATGTTTTTCCCGGCAGCAAAGCCGCGTCCGCCCGGGAATCATAGAATCATAGAATGTTTAGGGTTGGAAGGGACCACTAGTGGTCATCTAGTCCAACCCCCCTGCAGGAGCAGGGACACCGCTAACCAGATCAGGTTGCTCAGAGCCCCGTCCAACCTGGCCTTGAATGTTCCCAGGGATGGGGCCTCCACCCCCTCTCTGGGCAACCTGTTCCAGTGTTTCACCACACTCATGGTCAAGAATTTCTTCCTTATATCTTATATCCTTATATCCTTATATACCTTATATAAACCTACCCTGGTTTAGTTTAAAACCATTACCCCTTGTC